CTAAACCCTAAACCCTAAGTTAGGAGGAAGGTAAGGTTGACCAGGTTCCCCTGATTCAATCGCCTAAGCCCACACCCCACACTCTACAGCCGATGACCCTGTAAAGGTTTAGGGTTTAGGGCCCACAGACAAAAGCCTCTCAGAGGTAGGTGGTATAAACCTGACAGTCAAATGAGTAAGTCATGGTCCCATATTTGTCATACAAAAAAAGTTTGGGAAGATTCGGGACGATGGACATGAAGTGGGACATCCCCCAAACCCTAAACCCTAGATTTAGGACTCCGGACATGAACTGGGACATCTACATCTTGAACGTCGTGCCGACTGCGAGTGCGGGCAGCGGCTTCGGCATGGGGAGCTTGAGGCCAGGCTGTTTTTCATCAGGGCTTCACAGGGTTTAATAGGGTTTCATAGGGTTTCACCGGGGTTTCATCAGGGTTTATAGGGTTTCATAGGGCTTATAAGGGTTGTGTAAGGAGTTTCATACATGATTCATCAAATCGTGCATTTTGGAGTTGGAGGTGTTTAGGGTATAGGGTTGACAGGCTTCCGGCGGTGCTCGCAAACTCGTCCGTTGTTCTTCGATCTCCCTCTTCGAACGGTTTAGGGTTCAGGGTTTAGGGCATGTAAATCCTGTGTCATGTCCACACCTCTTCAAACGCCTACAGCGAGCTTCCTTAGGGGATCTACTTTTGGGTGGTCTTGACCCTAAACCTCGACCCTAAACCATGAGTTCTGAAGCAGCGGCCGAGGTTCACATTGGGCCTCGTGATTGCTTTCCTCACTCTCTGATCATGAGGAGATTGTGGCACTCGGGGCTTGGTTTGGCTACTAGGGTGGTCGGAATGTGATTGGTAGCAATGTGACCGTATGCTCCCTTTAAACTCGTATACAACGGCGTATGTGTGTATATGTATGTATATTTCAGTATACTTTGATCTAATATAGCAAAATATAATGTAACACAACATAATATAGTTCAACGTCATGTAGTATATTACAATATAGTACAATATCCAATGATAGAATATATATCATAGTACAATGCATTATAACATATCACAATGTAATGTAAAAAACAACAACATAAACATATATAATATCTTATAGTATGGCAAAGTACAACATAGTATGGTCTAGTATAGTATGATATATATATATATATATATGTGCATTATAACATATCACAATGTAATGTAAAAATCAACAACATAAACACATATAATATCTTATAGTATGGTAAAGTACAACATAGTATGGCATAGTATAGCATGATATATATATATATATATGTATTTGTTCAACTGTACATATATATATATATATATATATATATATGACTGACATGGCGGTTGCCACCATGGATGAATGAATGAATGGATGGTTGAACTAAGAATGAATCAATGAATGAATGGATGTATGCATACATACGTATGTATGTATGTATGTATGTATGTATGTGTATATGTATGTATGTATGTATGTATGTATGTATGTATGTATGTATGGATCTATGCATGTCTCTCCGTATGTCTGTATGTATGTATGTCTTTACGTGTATATCCATCATACATATATACACATACATACATATACATGTATGTATATATATATATATATATGCATGCATGCTTTTGTACATAATTGCCTCGGGTTCTGGGGATCCAGAGTGGATTCTATGGCTACTTGGAGGTTCGCGGTACTTAGACCCTCAATTATAGCTATGATGAGACTTTTGCAAACTATAGGGTTTAGGGTTTAGGGTTTAGGGTTTAGGGGTTGCAAAATATAGGGTCCGAAAGAATTAGGAATACTTTTTTTAGGGGTCCTGATTATAGTTATAGTATAATGGGCCCCAAAACCCTATTCTAATTATTACAGCCCCCATAAAGGGCCTAGGGTTTAGGGGGTTGGTGGCCTGGTAAACCCTATGACCTAAATTGTAACGTTTAGGGTTTAGGGTATAGGGCTTAGGGTTTAAAGTGTAGAGCATGGTGTAAGCAATCTAAGGAACTTTTCTGCCGGAGTTCTACACTTGCGCATATGGGAACAAGGACTCGCAAGCCATGTCTGCACGCGGCACCACCAAAACGGATGCTCGATAATGCAAACCTTTGCTAGGTGCTTTCCAGGCTGTGCTCCGTAACTGTCAGAATGTCGTCTGACTCCGCAAAAACATCCATTCTAGTTACATAGAACAGTCAGGCTCATATACTTAATCATCAACATCACCAGAATAATCATACGAAGAAGATAACTACAGAAGCAGTGCTAAGCCTGCGCACTGCAATCGCAAGGTTGGCGTTAAGTAGTCGCGCTGCTGTTCGCAGACTTGGTTACGGACGCATGCATCCAGCAGCATATAAGAACCTTGCAGGAACCGTAACGACATGTATAATGTATTCACTGCCAGGGTTTTATGAGGGGTCCCCTAAGGCTGTCCCAGGCTCCCTAGTACCCTCCCCGCTTGAACCACCTTCCCTTAAGGATACTATACTTGGAGGCCCAGGGGACTTAGTAAGTCGGCTTTCTATAGGGTTATACTTTGGGTAACTCCATTTAAGGTACTTATACCCTAAGGGTCCAAAGGACCCAATAATAAGGTACTTTGGTTGCGGATAGTAGTTATTTAAGTTAATAGTTGGGAGAGTATATGATTATTAGGTACTTGGACCCTTAGGGATACCTCTACTTATTACCTACTTAGTAAGTCCCCTGGACCTCTTAAGTAAGGCTTTGCTGTTCTTGAGCCCAGGATGGCTTCTGGGAGTTCACAGACCTTCATCCCCAACGGCTGGATCTAAACCCCATGCGACCCTTTTTCCCTAAAGCCACGAAACTCCAAAACACGCATAACATCATATGGGAGTCTCAGAAAATAAGGGGTACCGTATTTTGGGGTCCTTATAATAGGGATCCTATTGTTTAGGGTACTATATTAAGGTCCCCTATTTTCGGAAACTCCCATATCAAACCCCTAAAACCCCAAGACCTACTCCCTGGCCCTAGTCCATAAAGCTTGTCGGCACGACGAAGCTTTCCGACACGAAGTCAGCCCACCTGAGGAAAACAGTCACGTAGCAGGATCGGCTTGGCAGTTGCTTGGGATGTACGAAATTAATGTAGAGGCCTTAATAATCACAATAATTTCGTTTGGGGCTCTTTTATCGTGTAATTACGGAGTAAGACAGGCAATTATTTGGGCTAGGAAGTAAGCAACCTCTGAGACGAACAATAGGGTTTGAGGGTATCATTTACAGGCCCAGATTGCCCACGGCAAAAACTAAATTTGAAGGGCCATTCTGGCCTCCAGTGGGCCTTATCCAGCGGTGTTGTATACCGTATCAAAAAACCACACGAACAAAACCAAACTCATGGCTCATCAAAAAAATCACATGTGTATGTATGCATGTATGTGTATATATATATATACATATATAGATAGATAGTTATATGTAGGACAGAAGTACCTAGGGGCTGAGTACCCTAGCCCAAAACAGGTTGACCTTTTGAATTATAACCGGATTATATAAGGCCCAAAAAGTTAAAGGTTACCTACTCAGCCCCTAAGAGTATAACTTTGAAGAGGCCTTGCGCTTTGGTACGGATAGGATCCTGGCCTTGCTTGAGCTTCCTCTTTGTGGCTGTACTACTTGGAGGCCCAGGGGACTTAGTAAGTCGGTTATAAGTAGGGTTATAATTGGGGTTTAGGGTTTAGGGTTTAGGGTTATAAGTAGGGTTATAATTGGGTAACTCCATTTAGGGTACTTATAACTCCATTTACAACCTACTTACTAAGTCCCCTGACCCTTCAAGTAGTCCATGACTCCATGTCGCACGGCTGAGGCAGATTAATGTAGAGGCCTTAAGGAATAGAATAGGGTTTTGGGGGGATCCTTATTATAAATACCAGTACAGTATAACATACTCCAATCCCTATTCTAATTAAGACTCCTATATTATGCCTTGCATTCGGCTTGGCATGCCCTTGCTCATTGGGACGGGCATTGGCTGGGCCTGGTTAGGGACTCTTTGGCTTGGCTAGGTCGTTGGGTTCTGCCTGAGCGAGCTGATTGGACTGCAGCTTGGCCGGAGTGGCTCAGACTAAGAGGGACGCATCCTGGGCGCCGGAAAGCCCTCGTGCGCGAGGCACAAGGGTATGAACCCTAAACCCTAAACCTTATGCTGTTGAGAATGGGGTGGGGTTCATTGCTTGATATTTGACTCTGCTGACCGTCGCCCCTGTTTTGCTCCGTGCGACCGTGTAACCGTGTCTTCATGGATTTCAACAAGTGGAGCCTATACATGCCTTCAAGAAGCATGAGACCCCCGCCAAGGAGTGACACAGGTGTGTAGCCCTGCCCGCTTCGATAGCCGGGGACTTGGTCCGTTTCTTTCTCCCACTGCTTTCGCATGGCGTTCCTTCCGTGCTCAACCCTAAACCCAAAACCCTAAACCCTAAACCGTACAGAGGATGCTTGCGTCCAAGCAACTTCAGAGGTGCCTACGATTTGCTGTGTTCGCGGGTTGGATTTTGCGCCGTGACTGCGTCATCGTGAAGGTTGGGACCTGTCCCTTTTTCTTTCACCCGGAGGCTCCACATATAGTACCATTATGAACATATTAAGTGCCTAAAACCTTAGTAAGAGTGGTCTTTTGGGACCTACTTCCATAATGGTACTATATGTGGAGCCTCTGGGTCACCTTTAAATAAATTAGTGTTGCAAGAAAGGCCTGCGGCCGCTGTACGGACCTCCGTGCCCTAATGGCAAAAAGGCGAGTTGTATGTAGGTGCACGCGGATTTGTGTAGGGGGCGAGAGAGACATATCTATGTGTGTGTATATGTATTTTTTTAGTACTCATCTTATCTTCTCTGTTCAAATACTCACGGTCATCATAATTCACAATGCGTTGCCAAGAGGCATTCCAGGCGAGGGCGCTCGGTCGCCGGGGCCAAGGACCATCATCCCGAATCGGAGCTGGTCGGAGTGCGGGGGTGGGGTTTAGGGTTTAGGGGTTCAGGATTTAGGGGTTTAGGGTTCAGGGCTCAGGGTCATTTTGGGCTAGGGTTGAGGGTTTAGACACACAGGGTTTGGGATTTAAAGCTCTGGGTTCTGGGTTTAGGCCTAAACCCTAAACCCTAAACCCTAAACCCCAAACCCTAAACCCTAAACCCTAGGGTTTAGGGTTGAGTGTTTTGAGTTTGTGGTTGAGTGTCTGAGGTTGTGGGATGCTGGGCCCCGGATCCCAGGTCTGGGGCTGAGTGCTTAAGATTTGAGCTTCAGGGCTTCAAGGCTTCGGGTTTAGGGTTTAGGGTTTAGGGTTTAGGATTTGAGCTTCAGGGCTTCGGGTTTAGGGATTTTTGGGCTTAGGGTTTAGGGATTTTTGGCTTAGGGCTTAGGGTTTAGGGATTTTGGGCTTAGGGCTTCGGGTTTAGGGTTGTTTTGGCTAAGGGTTTAGGGTTTAGGGTCTTTTGGCTTAGGGTTTAGGGGCTTAAGTGTTTTCTGGCTTAGGGCCTATAGGGTTTAATTAGGGTTCAGGGCTTAGGATGCTGGCACGCGGTGAGGACTTAGGTGGTGGGCTTAGAGGAAGAGTGTTAGCGAGGTTAGCGCGGAGGCTTCCTGAGGAGCCCCCGGTTAAGGGTTTAGGGTTTAGGGTTGAGGGTTTCGGGGTTCCTTTAAGCCTTTAAGGGATGTATAGGGATACCTTCAAGGGATCTACAGGGTTGAGGCTTTAGGGTTTAGGGCCGGTCCAGGGATCAGAGGCCTAAGGTTTAGGATGTAGGTCTTTC